GCGTCAGTTATAAATAGACTACTCTACAATTTGTTTTTAGAAGCTTCAGCTAGAAGACAATAGATGTTTTGACATTCCTATAAAATATCATGTTCTTTTTTATTTTTAGAGTTGTTTGTTTCCTACAACTTATTATCTCTATTGTTTTTTCTCAGCCTGGCTGCTCCATTTGTCAGATGAGTCCTTGTCAGAATGGAGGTACATGTAATTGTACACTTGATTCAGCTCCTTCTAATTACACCTGTGACTGTACTGGTACTGGCTATCAAGGAATTAATTGTACAGGTAAGTGACATGTACATTATGATACCATCTATGTGTAGTGTACACATTTCTGAATGGCATGAAAAATACCAGTTTCTGAGATTTAGCAAAAAAAGGAGTTTATTTAATGAAATTGGGAATTATTGGTACTCCAAATTTTTTACTTAGTTTAAACTTTAAGACAATGATTAAAGTTTGTGGTGTTGTGGCAGGCTCATTAATGTACTTATGCTAAAAATTTTGAAGGTGCTATATAGATAAGTGTATTTGAAATTTAAATGTCAATCGTGCTGTAGTTTCATATAAAGCTTTGCACTACAGTGTTTGCATGCAATAATTATGAAAATGAGAAATGCTAGATGAAAGTGCACACAATCTGTGTACTTTTAGCATGTTGTTCTCTAAAGAATAATTATAAACAACATAGTAACTGCACAAAAAACAATCAATCTTTGTTGACAGTTGATGCTAATATTGCTTTGAAACAACACTGAAACAAGTGAAAAAACAATGCATGTAATGGCTAATATACTCAACAGTCAACAACAATAAGTTATTTTGAAGTTTACTAAATATATAACTTCAATAAAAAGCAAACCAACCCTATATACGGGGTGTTTTTCAAATTTTGGTGCAACTTTAAAATTCATAAAAATCCAATTTTGACTGGTATCAGTACAAGCTTGATATGCTACATCAGAAAAATGTGCATCAGAAAAAAATTAAGATGAAGAATTCTCTTCTAGTCATTTTTGGCAAAATACTATGGTTTCTACAGATCTCTACTAAGGAAGCTAAACAGCATTTCACATGAGCTGGTGAGAAGCTGATCACTGTGCTGAAAAACCTTGACTATTACATTTCCATCTAAATTTGTACAGTTCAATTTTTATCATACATGCTTGTGATTATACTTAAAAGTTTATTCTTTTCCCTGCAGTTGCTCAACTCCCATTCATTCATCCTCCCAGTTATAATTTGCTCATGAATCAAGATGATGATTGTGCCAATGTGACATTGCCAACCTCAGTTCAGATTGGACCCTTCTACTACAAAATAGCTTATGTAAGTCAAAATAATTGCCCATTTTGTGATAATGATTAATTTCTAACATATATAGGTTTGTAGCAATGGTTTAGTCAGTTTTAATACTTCATATGCTTCCTATACTCCGGAATTATTTCCTCTCAGTGTTGAATTTCCTCCTGTAATAGCTCCATATTGGGATGACATTGTACTGGTTGGATCAAGAGAACTACGTTATCAAGTTATCTCTGGGTCTTCTTCTATTGCTACTCAAGTCAATAATTTTTTAACAAGTTACACTGGCAAACCATTTAACCTTGATTGGTTACTGTGGGCTTATTGGTATAATGTATGTCCATACACAGATGATAGCTGCTTGACACATCAGGTAACTGTTATATTTCTTTTTGGTAATATCATTTATACAACTATTAGTCAAACTTCTTCCAGCTTGTATAGCAGTTCAAGGAGATGCAACATATTCCAT